CAATAAACTATTTATTGGATAAACTAGATATTATCAGTTAGTGATGAGTGCCATGGAGGAAATAAATAAAACTGTCACTGAAGTGAGCTGTTTAGACAGATCAGTCAGGGAACTCCTTTAGGAAGAGGTGACATTTGGGTTAAGTCTCTAATGAAGAGGAAGAGTCTATCAATGAGGAAGCACCCGATTAAGTCACTGTAAACAACAGGTGCAAAAGGCCTGAGGCAGAAACAAGCTTGGCATGTTGCCGGTGAGGGAGGAGTGAAGAGTTATAAGGTAAGGTCACAGAACCAGTCAGGGGCTGTCCGCCCAGCTAAAGAGTTTAGATTTCATTTAAAGTATAATAGAATGTCTACAAAGAGCTTTCCACCAGAGAGAGACTAAATTTTAATTGAATTTTTTTAAATTCCACTCTGGCCACTGTAAGGGAAATGGATAAGGGGAACTAGAAGTGAGGAAACCGAATAAGAAATTTAAATAGTGGCTCAAGAGCATCAAATAAATTAATTTAAGCCTCCAATTCTTCCTCTTAAATTCTAAGGGTCTAACTCCTCAGACTCTCAGGGAGGCTAATAATGGGAAGCTGGCTGAAGAGAACTGTTTATTCTTTAAAGCAATGATAGCCAGCCGGGTGGCATTCAAATATCAGACAAGAGAGGACAGGAGACAGGCTCTTCCAAAAAGGGCAGGACCCAGTCACTTCCTAAGAAGAGAACAAGCAGCCATCTGTTCTGAGGCCCAAGAGTGGATCAGCTCCCACCTCCTGCCCCCTTCCAGCTCTGTGATTCTGGGACTCAAAAGCCAGAACTCTCAGACGGCCCACAGACGCAGACTTTGCATCCAGCCAGCTTATAGGGCTGTCTGCAGAACACAAGTAATCCTCCCTGGTTCCAGGTTCAAACCCTAGGAACTAATTGGTCAATGGCAGCCAACATCACAAATACAGACAACTAAATAACTCCACATGATATGGTCTTGCCAAAACAAATAATAATAGTAATCAAACCCAAATCTCATGGTGCCCTGCTGTAGGGACAGCAGAACATGATAGGGCATCCATAAAGTCCTGACTGTGGGGAACTCCATAAAACAGACACCCTGGTTTCTTCAATAAATAAGTTGTAAGGGAAAAAAAAGTCTTAAAAGAAAACTTACAGACTAAGAAAACTATCACCACTCATATTGAATTGTTTAAATTCTGACTCAAAAAAGCTTTTGAAATTTTTATGAGATAACTAGGGAAATTTGGATATAATATTTAGAAAGTATTGATAATTTGGGGGTGTGATAAGAGTAATGTGAT